AAATCTTCACAGAAGCTGATGTCCATATTTGATCCCAACAGGTCTTAGGATTTACCAAGGAGAAAGAGTGGAAGGGCATCTGCGGCAGAGGGAATGGCATGGGAGAAGAGGCTGGAGCCCAGAAAGACAGGTGGGGGAGGGGAGAAAGGAGTCTGGAGGTGGGGAGACAGGAAGAGCAATGGGCACCCCCTGAGGAGTTTACAGCAGGAGAGAAAAGAGGTCCGATTCCAGTTTAGCATAAATCCTGCTGGTTGTAGTGATGGCCAGTATCAGAAGCAGGGAGACCAGCTAAGGGGCTCCTTTGGTCCCTTCATAAACGTCTGTGGCACCCCCACCAGGTGCCAGGCCCTGCGCTGTTGCAGGGGTCCAGGTGAGGGGCAGAAGTGGCCTGGACTGTGCTGATGGGGGCCGGGATGGATAGAAGAGGCAGAGGTTTTTGAGAGGGACGTTCACTGTGTTTAACACATCCTGGCAATTCACAAACCGGCTTCCGGTTCCCGGACCAGTTGTGTACGAATGTGGAAACTGGGAACCTGTTATTTCAAGAATGGAGAGTTGACTGGCAGAGCTGAGACCAAACCTCAGGCCCCACTGAGCAGAGCACCCCACCCAGAGCAGTGCAGCCCAGCCTGCCCGCTCCTTCCCATCTCTCTGCCCCAGGCTCAGGAAAGCTTCAGATGCAATCGCTGCTGATGATAATCTTGACTGGCCCTTTCCAGTAAGGGGTGAAACCCAAACATCCTGGTTTCTCTTCATCAGCCCTTGCGTGGAGCTCAGTGACTCCTCCAGGATCACATAGGAAGCCAGAGGCCCAGCTGGGACACTGCGAGTTTGGGCTTCTCTATTTCTGTGTCCTCTCCCCTCAGACTGCAGACTCCTTGAGAGTAGGCGCTGTCTCCTACCTCCATCAGACCTTGGGTTCTCCGAGGGTGTCTCGCCATCAGATTAGGAACTCCCAAAGGGTAGAATGAGGACTGGGAATGAGAGTTAGGGAAGCTGTTTTGCTGCCACTTAACAGATGTTGAAGTTGGGAAAAATCCTATATTTCCCTCAATTTCCTCATTTGTAAAAGCCACAGGCTATCTTTTACATTGCATCATGGTGGCTGAGGGAACAGCCCCAGGAGCTGGCTGCCTGGGTTTAAATCCAGGCTCACCATTTTTACTGAGACGTTGCACAAGACAACGTCTCTGTGCCTCAGTTTCCTTGTCTATAAAATGGAGATGTAATACCCACATCATGGGGCTATTGCAAGGTCAAATGATTCATTCGTGTATTACTGAGTGTAAGGCATTTAAAAGAGTGCCCAGAAAGCTGGCATGTGACATGGTTTGCCATTGTCACCCCTCAACTTCTTTCCCCTTGCTCCTTTGACCCCTTCCTGATTCTTGGACCTCTGCTGCAATGTCCCTCCATCTTCACCTCCCCCAAGAGGCCTGCCTCTCTTCACCTCTCTTCATTCTTTTCTCCCTTCCAGAACACCCCAATCCTCTTGATCTCGGTCAGTCCTGAGCCCTCCCTGCCCTCTGTGGACCCTCTCAGGGTGCCCCCCAACACTCAAAGGCCACAACCAACCCCCTTCCCCCTGCCCCCCCCCACACACCGCACACACCAAGCTGGCCTGTTGACCTCATGTTTTATTGTAAAAATGTTAAAATAAATTACATTTGACATCATTGCAGTATGTACATACAGTGTGTACAATTCCAGGACAGCCAGCAACAAGACGAGCTCATAAACACATTTCACAGAAAAATACAAGGCTGCACCTTCCCATCCCCAGGCAGGCCAACAGCCTCTGCCATCGGTTGGAGGATGGGTGGGCATGGACCATGCCTATCACAGTCTTCACGTGTGGGGTGGGCTCTGGCCCCACTTGCCCCCACAGCAGAGGGTGCAGAGTGAGGGAGAGGCTGGGAGGCAGAGGGTGTGATCACTTGCCCCCTACCCAGCATCCCACCTGCAGTGGGTGCCCCTTCCCACCTTTGCTCTGCTGCTCATCAGTGTCCCCTCCCCAACTCTGCATGAGGACATCATGACATTGGCTGAGTTGAGTTGGGGCTTCAGTTGAGTTGGGGACGGGATGGTGGACACTACACATCCTGATTCTTGGGACCCTGCTCTTTAACCACTGGCTCTGAAGCCAACAACAGATTCCAGGTATTAAACAACAACGGTTGATTCAAAACATAGCAAGAACATTCAGGCAGAGCGAGCTGGCCCTGGGGTGAGCTCGTGGAGAACCTAAAAACCAGCAGCGAGTCCTGCCCACACCTCACCAGAGTCTGTGCACTTCCACATTGTCTTTTGCTCCCCAACCCACATCCTTCCCTTTCTTACACATGCACACACACACACATACATGCGCACATGCGCGCACACACAACAACCAGGAGCTGGAGAGAGGAGCTTGGTTCACACACTTGGCCATGCTCCATTTCTCAGCCAAGAGCAGTCTGGCCTCCCCCTGCCCGGCCAAGAGGGCTGGTGGGAGGGCAGGTGGCAGTGAGGTCCTCGTTCTGGACA